ATTGTTTTTTTCTGATTCTAAATAAATGAAAAGCACAAAATAAGATGCTCTTTATGCTGCTTCCCCGCAGGACATCAGCAGCAGCAACAGCAGCAGCAACAGCAGCAGCAGCAGCAGCAGGAGAAAAAGCAGCAGCAGGAGAAAAAGCAGCAGCAAGAGCGGCGTGTTCAACCCCAGCAGCGTGAGCAACATGAGTAACACCAGCAGCAGCAGCAGCAGCAGCAGCAGCAGCAGCAGCAGCAGCGGCTGCTGCACTCTGCTGCTGCTGCGTACACCCCGTAATTTGTTAGTGGGTTTAGATATGGCTCAATGGAGAGTAGGAGAGAAGTTTAAAGGAATACGCGGCATAGACTTCGGCTGTCACTTTCTGCACTGGACAGAAGCAGCAGCAGAACCCAGCAGCAGCAGCAGCAGCAGCAGCAGCAGCAGCAGCAGCAGCAGTGGTGGTGGTAGTACTACTAGTGAGGGGTGTACATACACCCGGATGCGTGTAGAGGAGGCAATAGGGAGCACGGGTCAGCGGGGTGAGTTTATATATTTTAAGAAAAGAGAAAAAGTAATAGTAAGAGAGTGGTGTTCTTCTTNTCTTTATCTCGTTTTTTGCCTTTACAAGAAGAAGAAAACAATCGTTTTGTTGCTGGAGTGCAGCACAATGATTTTATTTTTTCTCTCGGTGTATACCCCACATGCATGCGACAGCAGTGGCTGTCTTTGTCTTCATTTATTTCTGCTGCTGCTGTAAGCAGAGTTGAACCTATAGGCCGCTATCTAGAGGCAGAGGGGATGCCTCTCACCAAACAAGAACAAAAATACTTGCAGCAACACTCTTCTCCTGCTGCTGCTGCTGCTCGTGCTGCTGCTGCTGCTGCTGCTGCTGAGGATGGGGGAGAGGAGGGGGATGGTAGTGCTGCTGCTGCTGCAGCAGCAGCAGCTGCAGCAGATAGAAAAAAGCAGCAGCAACTACGGCGTAAGGAGTATAAAGAAACAAGCAGCAGCATAAAGAGAACAGATAACGAAGAAGATGACGACGACGAAGAAAAAGAAAAAGAAAGAGAAGAAAAAGAAAAAGAAAAAGAAAGAGAAATAAGAGAAGCAGCAGAAGCAGCATCATGTAGGATGTTTTATATGGATGTGAAGCCAGCAAAGACACACGCATTAAGTGCTGCTGCTGCTGCTGCAGCAGCAGCAAAACGTTCAGGATATGATGCAGCAACAGCAGCAGCAGCAGCAGCAGCAGCAGTAACAGCAGAATGTATGGATAGAACGCGAACACTATTTCAACTAATAAAAGATACAGATGAAGGATATATCTCTCTTCTCGCTGAGCTGCAGCTTTCTTTTATTTCTTTTGTTCTTTGCTTTCATTTCTCTTCTTTTCTTCATTGGCGTCAACTTGTTGAACTCATCACCACAGCAGAAAAAGCTGTTTACCTCTTACCCGGTATTTNCTTCATTGGCGTCAACTTGTTGAACTCATCACCACAGCAGAAAAAGCTGTTTACCTCTTACCCGGTATTTTATTTTATTTTGTTTTTTTGTTTTGTTTTTTTGTTTTTTTTTTTGTTTTTTTTGTTTGGTTTTGTTTTTTTTTGTTTTGTTTTTTTTGTTTTGTTTTTTTTTGTTTTGTTTTTTTTGTTTTGTTTTGTTTTGTTTTTTTTGTTTTGTTTTGTTTTGTTTTGTTTTGTTTTGCTTTACTTTATTTTATTTTGTTTTTGTTTTGTTTTGTTTTATTTTGTTTTGTCTTTGTTTCGGTTTATTTAGTTTTATTTATTTTTGTTTTTATTTTTATTTTTGTTTTTATTCTCGTTTATTGTGTCTCATGGGTATTTTAAATATAAAAATAAAGTAATTGTGTGTGTGTTTGTCTCCGAGTTGTATTCATCTATAAACAAAAAAAAAAAAAAAAAAAAAAAAAAAAAAAAAAAAAAAAAAAAAAAA